CAAACTTGGCCACTTTAAGACTTGGTGGACTTCAACTCCCAGAATTCTCCCCAGCCAGCATCGCTTGTTCTCTTGTAATCCCTTCCTCTGCAATCTCTCTGCACTTTAGGAGGTTAAGAGGAAAAAAAGAAACAGACACGGCTGGCTGGAGAATTCTGGGAGTTGAAGTCCACAAGTCTTAAAGTGGCCCAGTTTGGGGACCCCTGTCTTAAGTCTTAAAAGTTGCTAAGGTTGGACAGCCCTGATTAAACCATGTGAACTTCAAATCCCAGAATTCCCTAGCCAGCTGGCTGGGGAATTCTGGGAGTTGAAGTCCACAAGGCTTTAAAGTACCTGAGTGAGAATACTCAGCTTTATAGGATACTGGAGATGGGATTCAGCTTGTGAAACACTCAACTTCGTTATTTATTTTAAAAAGGTATCTTTTAAAAACCCAGGAAGACGAAAGCAGTTCCTGTTGAAATTAAAAAAAAAAGCTCCTGTTGAAACCCAAAGGACAACAGCGGAAGACAATTCAAGGACTGGAATGGTTCATGAAATGCAAGCTAAGCTGTAGAGGAGTCCATGGCTAAGATTAGATACAATGCAATACCTGCAGAGGCGCATAACAATGCAACACAGATATCATTACATTATGTCCAATGAGGTTGTCCATCTCTCGTTCTTTGCCCTCCAAGGATGCCGACAGCACCCACCACGGCGCATCGGTGGAAAATGTGCCGTTTGGCGAACGCTGCGATGTGGCTCACAGGCTGGTCACACACACACACACACACACACGTGTGTGAGCAGAGGAGAGACTGCCTGTCCCTCCGTGTAAACGTCCAGTTCTTGCACAGAGTGTTGGCTTGTAAATTTCTCTGTGGGAGTTGACCTTCCAACTCTGGTTCCTGATGATCTCCCAGTTTCGAGGAGGAGGAAGAGGAGGAGGAGGGGGAGAGGGAGAGGGAGGAAGAAGAAGGGGGAGAAGGAGAAGGGAGGAAGAAGAAAAGGGGAAGGAGGAAAGAAGAAGAAGAGAGGAAGGGGGAAGGAGACGAAAGGAAGGAGGAGGAGGAGGAGGAGGAGGAGGAGGAGGAAGAAGAAGAAGAAGAAGAAGAAGAAGAAGAAGAAGAAGAAGAAGA